ATCGATAGCACAAGACAAAAAGCAAAGTTGACGTTCAAGTGAGACCGACAAAGAGAGAAAAAGTTATAGGAATAGAAAGATAAAGAAGGAACAAAGATGTAATAAATAAAGCGAAATATTCGTCTTTTATACATCATTACCGTGGTTGTGGTCGTAGATTATGTGTCTACGTTGGAAATACGTCGATGTCACGTCTCAAGGGATAACGATCGGTAGCATGAGGCGTATAAAAAGTTGGAACTCGATCGGCAGAATGAACGATTCATGTCAGTGAGCGTTGAATTGACTGATGGCTCGTCTTTTGTACCTACAAGTCGTGTGTCTTCATCCGTAAAACACCTCATGATAATGTACACAATAATTCCAGTAAACAACTTTATTTATATTTTATCACTCAATTTATTCATACTTCGGCGCATAACTTAACATAATATATGTAATTAGCATCTTTATTATTACACTCAGAGAAATAATTTCTGTTGAAAAACATGGGCATTGTTATGACAAGAAATTAATTTGTTGAAAATTTTTAAAAATTTTATTTTTAGTTGAAGAAATTAAAATTTTTTCCCTCAATAAACGACTCTGCAAAATTTACAGAAAAAATATGCAATTTTTACGGACGAGCAAATATTCGGTAAAATCCCAAATAAATTGGGTAAAATCTACAAGAGTATTGTGTTATCGTTGCAGAGTAACTTCTTGATTATTTGACGTATATAACGTTAACTATGTGTCAATTTTTAGTTATTTTATGAAAGTTAAGAGGTCTGTTGAACCATTTTCAGGCAATGTGTACACGGAAAAAAGTAAACTGTAATATTCACTCGGATTCCGGTTAATTTTTATAGTTTCAAACAGTAAAGCGGACATCTGGGTGGCAAAAATATAAATATTACAGAACTTAATGTAGAAAGTATAAAAGCCATAATTTATAATTTAATATCCAAAATAAGTGATTAGTAGCTGTCACTATAGTAAATAACGACTCTTTCATCTCAAAAAGTTACAGTTTCAAACAGTAAAAATTGCCATTTCAATATATAGTCCATATTATGAGGAGAAAGGGAACTCAGATGAAAGAGAAGGGGATCTCACTTTGGGAGAATTTAACATTTGAAACAGTAAAAATTATACTTTTAAAATATACATTTTATCAGTTCAAGCAAGTCAATAATTACAGTTTGATTTTTAGCGTTGCGTTTAAAATTTACCATTTTACTTTGTAAATATTGACGTTGCTTGTATTAGAAATTTACTAACTTTATTTTATACATTTTACATATCATAAGATCATTTTTTAGGTACCAAATGATAAATATCAAAGTCTGAATTCTTAATTATTATACTTTAATATTTTAGACATTTACATAGCGAATATTACTGTTTGAAATAGTATTTTCTTCCATGTAAAGAGTAAATTGTAACGTTTAAATTGTAAATATTATAAAGTGAATAGTAAAATCACGATTTTACTGTTTGAAATGGTAATTTTTAGCAGTTGATCATTACTTATTATAAATCGACTGTTACTTATTACAGTTTACTTTTTTCGGTGTAGTACAACCGACTTATGAATGTCATTCTATCAAGAATTGTCAACAGATCCTAATGAAATTTAGTGCGCAGATTCCTTGGACAATTAGCTTCCATGAGTCCTACACGGAGAAAATTAAATAATTGGGTTTATTATACTAAATTTATAATTCCAATCATCTAGGATGATTAAAACATTTTTCAGTTCAAAGATAGTTAGTGTTATTATTTTTTTTATAACAGTTACCATTTTTTTTAGTAACAGTTACCATCAGGATGATAACAGTTACTATCAGGATGGTAATATTTACTATCAGGATGATAATATTTACTATCAAGGATAGTAATTAATATTATTGAATTTTATAAAAAAATTCATCGAAAATTCAATAATTTTCAAGTATACTTTTCATTTTTGACCGTGGTTTTTAAACGCTGATATTTAAATTCTACTTACTACTTTAGATAGTAACTGTTATAATTTCTGATGGTAACTGTTACCATCAGAAATTATAAACACAGTCGAGTCGCGTTATGAGCCCTCTTAGTGTGTCTCTCTCATATTAACGCGAGTCTGGTTAAAAAAGAAAACAAATAGGACTCATAACGAGACTCGACTGTATAACTATTTAGAATGATAATAGTAATTAACTCTAGTAGTTAACATACAGGATTGTAGTAGTGATTATAAATATGGTAAATGCTACAATCTAGATGATTTGTACAATCATCTAGATAGTATTCACTACTATCAGGTTGATGGTAAAAAACTTTACCATAACTAGATAGTAACTGCTATCATTTAATTTTCTCCGTGTAGGATAGACGAAATCAATAAATTAATTTCGAAGTAGTAGCACTTCAAAATTATCAAAATAGTGAAAATCATCTTTTTTTTTTAATGAATTTTATAAAAAATTTACTATGATACACATGTACAAAACAAAAGAACTTTTCTTATTTCTCTCATGTGAAAACTATGGCGCCACTTAATCGAGCTTGATTTTTTTGGACTGCGCGCGCATATGACAAGAAAGATGGGCGCCAATAATTAAAAAAAAATAGAAAATACTCTACAAGAAATTACTTAATTATTTGTTTTTTTAAACATCAAATTACACAATTTATTTTTTGCTTAAAAATTGAATCTGTGTTACGAGGCGTGCACTTTTGGATTTTCCAATCTTTCTCCGAATCTAGAAAACTTTTTTCAACAAGAAAGTTAGTGTGAGAAAAGTTTTAATTTCTTCAGCTAAAAAATGAAACTGTTGAAAATTTTAAACAAATTAATTTCTTGTCACAAGATTTTTTTCTCTTACGGTATGATTATAACACAATTTGGAAATTTATGTAAAAGAAAAAAAAATACAATAAATAAATTTCGACGAAAAGCAAATGTCAAACGAACATTTCGATGATTCAGCATCAGCTATATGAGTACTACCATCAAATCGTTTTGGTATTTGAGGATATTTGGCTCAGGTGGTTGCGTGGTGGCTCAAAATAGTTCGGTTCGCCCGCGCAAACCCGAGTCGAGTAAGTCCACGAATAGTGCGCGCCCACTGTTGCCTCGACGCTTCGGATAATTTTAGAATTTTGTTTTGCCACCACCGTAAGTTGTAAGCGAGAAAGCTAAACTGTTACGAGGTATAAAATGTTGCTTTTAATACAACTAAAAAGATATACGAAGTTTATTCTTATAATATCAAATGTTAGGGATTTATATACAAAAAAAATGATATATATATATAATGTCTAATTTCTGCTTTATTAATTTTTCGTTTGCAATTTCTAGAAAAAATTTATGTGCCTTCATTATTTATTGCTTTCATTTTTTTTTTGTCAACTTGTAACTTATGACTCGATTTAATAGTTATGCAATAAATTCTTTGAGATCACGGTAAACTCTTCACTGATAAAAAAATTATATTGATCCACGAAAGTTATTTTGAAAATAAGCATTTGACGTAGGTTCAATTAATACTTAATATCACTTGGGTTCACTTTACTATATCCAGAAATGTATTAGAAACTCCTTAGATGTATATGCGTACCTTGTTTGAAAACATTAAACCACTTTGTTAAGATAAAATTCTTCTGGAGAATTTTCTAATCTTCATCCAAAAGTTTTCATTCATTAATTTCTTGAATGAAGATAACGGAATAATAAAAATTAGGAAAACGATTGACCCTAAAGGCCATCCCTGCAACTTCCCACTAATTCCATACCTAAACGCTTAAAATTATTGCACTCATGACGTTTTTGAGTTCTTCAAACTCAAAAGTCTGATAGAAGTTTAATAAAACAATATTGGTTAAATTTTTAAACTGCAATTACTTTTGGATGAATAAATCGAATTTCACGCTTGTTTTTGCACAATAATTGGCTTTTAAACACAAATTAATCCGACCAAAAATTTCGGAGGAATTCGAAAAAATCACTTTTTTTCGTCAGCGATAACTCACGAATGAATCAAGCGATTTTGACCGATCTGACGGCGATCGACGTGGTTTTTTGATGTTAAGAGCTGATTAGTTTTTGTAATCAATCGGTAAAGCCGTTCAAAAATTATTCCAAAATATACTACATTTGAAAAATTTTTTTTCGTAGTTTTTTCTCAAAATCTACCTGTCCAAATTGTCTTAAAAATCTGTTTGGTCAAGCCCTTTCCAACGGCGCCAACCGCGATGAAATCGGTCAAGCCGTTCGAAAGTTATGAGAGGTTCACATATATCCATAGACAGACACACACACACACACACACACACACACACACACACACCACCTTAAAAATTGTCAGGGAAGGTTCCTAGGACTTTATAACGCCGAGATCTAATGTAGAATCGATTTTCGAAAAATGGGGTAAACCCAATAACTTCCCAATTTTCAATTTTCTTAGCGGGAAATTAGAAATATAAAACAGCTGTAATAGGACGATAATGCGCAGGCGCTCCTTAGTAGGATAAATATATAGATACATAGTTTATTTCATTAATTGCAATTCAACGACACTAAGTTACATAGCCATTGATGATAGGAGACTTCCAATTCCTTCAGAGAATTGAAAAAAACAAAATTTTGACTCAATTAATGGATTTTTTCGCAAGTTACAGTGTTTACGGGTTTCATACTTGACGAAAGGGGAAATTATTTAAACTATTTTGATGTTTTTTTCCGTTTCTGTTGCACTAAATAAATTTTTGAAAAGTACAGAATTAATCTCCATTAAATTATGTTTACAATAGTATGCAAAATATCTCGATTCCGCAAACTAACAAGGGTACAATAATAAAAATCGTTGCCGAAATGAGGTGAAAAAAAAATTTCTATCGTAAAGCTCTCTTTCAGGCTTCGCATCATGAATAGTGCATTATCTTGAAAAAAAAAAAAAAAAAAAACAGTGTGAATTATTAGACTCGTTGACTTATCAATGCTGTAAAACATTTAAATACTTAAACTACACATGGTCTTTACCCATGACTTCCGTGTCAGCGCACGAGACACACTCAAGTTCTTAGTTGGTGTGGGAGATTGGGCGCACGCCACAGTTTACGTCACAGATTGCAACGTCACTGGAGAACTTTGCGGGTTAAGAGAGGTAATTGTGCCGGGTAAACTAAGCAGCTGAGCAGAGGGAGAACCACTGGAAGAGTAGTGGTAAGAGCGACGGTCTAGTGGCGGTGATAGAGGAGAAAAAAGGAGCAAGTGGGGAAAGCGCTTAAGGGGTAACACACGCGCGCGTACACTGTCAGGAAAGCGAAGAGCGGGGATTGGCTGTCGGTCGGCCGCCGCTTCCAAATATGGGACAGTCTCCGCGGTCCATTCATAAAACTACGGGGCGCGCCGCGACTCGGCTCAGTTGGTGCGCGACCCCCACGCATCACGCGTCCTTTACATCCCTCTACTGTTAGTACAGGAGAGACAGCGAGATATAAGCACGACGTGGGTCACCAGCCAGTGTTACGGGAAAGGAAGAAAACCCACGCACCCTTGCCTTTTTTTATCATTTATTCTTATTCACTTCGGCTGCAACAGTGTGTGTGCATGTGTGCTCGATTTTGTTATTGTTGATCCGCAAGCTTCAATTCTGAGGAGGCGTACGCACTTAAGTGAAAGAAAATAATACTTAAATACATACATCTACTTTTGTATCCCGATATATGAGTGAAAACAGTGTTAAAGTTTTCTCTTCTCTCTCTCACTCATTGCTACGTTAGAGTGAGGAGAGAGGGGGAGGAGGAGGAGGAGGAAAACTAAACTCGGAGTTTCAAATCACTAGGAGAATAATATTTTTACTATTTTGAGTCTGACTAAACTCGTTTAGTGTCATCGAATTCGCTTCGATAAATTAATATTTTTTAAGTTTCACTGGTGATTAAGTGCTACCAAAAGGTGCAGAGGTGTAGATTATCATTTTTGTTTAAAACATTTTTACTTAACTTTATTTAACAACTGGAAAGTGGAGCTTTTAAGTTATACTACTGTTGAGTGTGTCTTGTGCAACTATTTTGAAAGAGGCGTGAGTTTGAATGATAAAAATAAAAGCGATAATTAAGTAAAGTGTGAGAGACTGAGAAAGAGAAAGAGAGAGAGACAAGATTAATAAAAAAACTAACGTTTTATGTAAATTAGTTTGAATAATAATTGTAAAAATAATAGCGTTAAACGATACACCCATAGGCGAGGAGACGCAGTGCGGACCGGAGGAAGCTATCGCAGCGTCTACCACAATAGTTAACCCAATCCAACTGCAGAGGATGACAATGGACGGAATTGAGGTGGTTGGCACGCAGCATCACGCTGCAGCCAGTCCATTCCTTCTTTCGTCACCACCACCGGGACACCATCATCACCATGTCCATCACACCCACGCTTCATACAATATTCAAGCTGTTCAATTGAGTTTTGACACCTGTCTGGCTTACAATACTGCGACTTCAACTTCAGGGATCCACATAGGTCGTGGAACGTCATCGCCGATTGCCGCGACCTCCATCAACAGTGGCAAAGCAGTGTCACTTCTCACACTCTCCAGCTGTCCTCCATTACATTCTGCCAGTTCGGACTCCTCGGATGCTCATCACCGACACCGGCATCATCACCACCACAATCATCATCACAATGATACCCACCAGCATCATTCCATCTCTGACAATCCCATCTCACCGGGTGATTCTGGAAAAAAACAAATCCAACATCAAAGGAATGGTGATGATGATGATGTGTGCATTGGAAACTGCCAAGATGACATCCATGATACCACAGAAAAAGATAAACCTGGTGATTTAAACACTCCTGTGACCACCAGCAGTGATTTGCCATCTTTTTTTGGACCCTCGGCGCTCGTAGAACCACCGCCAATATCAGGTACAGCATCCACGTTACCCACGTGATAAAAAGACTATATTTTATTATCGATCCCATTTGACTTTGAACTCGAAAGCACCGGAGAAATTGTTCAAAGGCAAAGTCAAGGTCGTCAGAGCCACGCGACGTCCGTGACGTAGAACGGTCACCCGCAAAAACGAGCAATATCGAAGCTCAACCAGCGACCGTGGATCAATACTTAACGACCCCGACATTCAGGCAGACTCTTCTCCTCACCACCCTCAACTCCTTCTCGGCTTTAATATTATATTCTCTTCTCTGCGCTCAATCCCGTATCCCTCCGGTAACTGTTTTTCCCGAATGCTTCCCCTCTTCTCTGAATTCATTCATAGTTCCATACGACCCCGATACCACAATACTGTTTTCATTCTCCGCTTGTGCTATCAACCTTCCTTCCTACCCTCTGTCTGGCTTTCATCCCTCTCAGATATTATTATTAGATTCACCCATAGCTGAGATTTACTCCTTTCTCCGGTAACTTGTAAACAAATATTATATGCAATATTATTTTTTTAATTCACATCAAAGATATATTTATATTAGATGCTGCTCTAGGTTCAACCCGACATAGAAATACTTTTTTGGCTCTTAAAATTTTATTTAAAAAAAAAATAAAAGTTAAAACATCTGTTTCAGTGTGACTATCACGTCCAACTTGATCTATAATAATTTTAAACGTATCTACTGAAAATGTCAGCAGGATACAGACGAATGAGTTGTAGATAATAGAGCGTTAGCCGTATAAAATAAAATTGATATCGTATCATTCGCTTCTTCCTTTACTACACAATGGCGTATGTGTGTTAAACAATGTATTGCCCGGGAGTCAGCGTCCCTAGCAAAATCGACCAGCATATAGCTGAATGAGTCTGCGCGAGACACTATTAATTATCAAATAAACTCATTTCATTAATTGTATTATATTAACCCTCTATTTCTTCAAATTGCAGGTAGCCTAGCAGGTGATGATCTTTCCCTCGAAGCAGCAACTGTGGAGGATGATGAAACGGTGGTTTCTACGGGAAGAGATCACCAGCAGCATCATCACCACCATCACCAAGATAACACGGATTCCACTGGCGGATCACATCCAGCGTCTAGTCCCCAGCGTCATCATCAGTCCCAGGAGGACATTGAGCGCTGTAATATCCTTCAAGGAGGTGTCATTCTCTACTCAGCTCCGCACTCGACGACATCTGTTTCTTCTACGCCTGTCACTAGTGTCAACATTTGTAATGTACCCACGCTCACTTATCGCGGTATCTTTACAACTACCTGCACTCAATCGACTACTCTCAATACTCTTCAAACACCTCAGCAACAACAACAGCAGCAGCAACAACAACAACAACAACAACAACAACAACAACAACAACAACAACAACAGCAACAACAACAACAGCAACAACAACAACAGCAACAACAACAACAGCAACAACAACAACAGCAGCAACAACAACAACAACAAACATCTCAAGAGATATGGAATTCAATTCCATCACCCTCTCTTACCTTAACCAGTCAACCATTCCTCCATCCATCACTTCACTCAGCCCCCTACGGTGGAGAGACTGTAGAACTTCTTCAAGTTGATTCAAAGCCCCCAACTCATTCTGGATATCACGATTCACCATCTTCGACATCGACAACTTGGCTCACTAGTCACGAGGACAGCTATGATCCAGGACTACTGTCTCATCACCAGCCTCAGCCTCATCATCATCACCACCATCATCACCAAGAGACGACGCTCAAACAAGAACCAGTTGGTAACTCTGGATACAATCCAGCGGTGCAGCAACATCAACAGTCTCAACCTCAACAACAGCTATCGACATCAGGGTCCGGGGCTGTTCAACTTGCTGAGTACAATCCTAGCACATCGAAAGGCCATGAAATTCTGTCCCAAGTCTATCAACAGAGTTCTCTCCCTCTGAGGCTAGTACCAGTTAAACCGAGAAAGTATCCTAACAGACCGAGCAAAACTCCAGTCCATGAAAGGCCTTACGCTTGCCCAGTCGACGGATGTGATCGACGATTCTCACGTAGCGATGAACTTACAAGACATATACGTATTCATACGGGTCAGAAGCCATTCCAGTGTCGCATATGCATGCGCTCTTTTTCACGGAGCGATCACCTAACTACCCATGTTAGAACTCACACTGGTGAAAAGCCATTTTGCTGTGATCAATGTGGAAGAAAGTTTGCCAGAAGTGACGAGAAAAAAAGACACGCCAAGGTTCATTTGAAGCAGAGGCTCAAACGTGAGGCAAGTCATATTAACTCGAGAAATCATTCTCAAGCTCACGTATCTTCTCCTTGCAATCAATAAATTAATATTATTTTTTAAAAATAATATTGATTATATTATATTTCTTCCGAGATTTTCAATATGGTGTTTTAAGAGATTTGGAACAATTATTGACTATTATAAACTACACGGAAAGAACAAGATTACACTGGATAACATTTCAGATTATAATAAGTAACATCTGTAGTGAAAAAAAATTTCAGTCGTGTGACAATAAGATTTGACCCGTTCATAATAGTCATATGATAGTGCTAAGTGCACAGGCGCTAGAAAAAAAAATGGCACAGATATCACTGGGTATAATCCAAAATTCTACTAAGTATAATCAAAATTCTACAGGATACAATCTCGGATTATATCCATTGGAATCTTACGTAGTATAATCTAAGATTTTACTGGAGAAAATAGGAGATTACAATTAGTATAATCTGGAATGTCATCCAGTGTAATCTTGTTCTTTCCGTGTAATGTATGTTTGTTCGTTATTATTAAATTTAAAAAACTAATATATTGAGAAAATTTCAAGATAATTAGTAATTTTATGAGAAAATGTTATAGTATTAATTTATTTGATCTCTGTTGACACTTGAATATCTCCTTACGGATACCTGAGTCTTTCAATTGTGCGGTCGTATAATCGTTAATCGTTACCTTAGTTTTAATCGACTAAGTTTTAGATTTTTTATTACTCAAACCATAGTTTAAAATGTTAATCAATATTAACTAATTTTATCATACATTATACAGAATTATATTTATAGGTAATATTTAACATTTACATAAAATTCTTTTTTTTTAACAAATTAATTATAAACGTAACAAATTTTTTTATAAAATTAAACATACAAGTTGTTATCTGATTTAAAATCATCACTTGTTAAAACTAAGGTACCGCTACTTATATTTATTTTATTTTCATTCTAAATTTTATTTTTCAATATATATTTAGTTTTATTGTTGAATTTTTCCCCGTGATCCGGACACGCTAAACGCCGATTTTCAAAAAAATTTCTATTATAAAAAAATTTGAATTTTCTTAAAACTTAATGGACAATCTTTAAAATTTTTTTTTTTTCATTTCTTGCCGTATAAATAAGAAGAAAAAAATTAGAGTTAATCCATTGAAAAAAGTGTAATTACATTATTAATGGTTATTTATGGTTAAAACATAAAGTAATATTGTAAATATGTATATATATGCCGTATTATATGTATACATATAAAATATATTAAGTGGATGCAGGTACAGAAAAAATGCCGATATATATTATATATAGTAAAAGAGAGAGAGAGAGTGAAAAATAAATGGGTAATTTAATTGTTTTAAATGTCTGTTTACTCCAAAAAAATTGTTATAAAATAATAAATTTTTTTCGTCTAAACTACTATGAAATATAAAATATCCATCCATATGTGTATACATATGATTAAAAACGAGTAATTAATTTTATGTATATAATGCTATATTTATTAACAAAAAGCGTGTATATTTTCTTTAAAAAGTTATGGGTATTTTACACCCATTGCACGCACATATTTTTAAATACTCGTTGTATTGCTGAATAGGCAGGCGTACATATTTTAAATTATATATATGTATATATGTTGTTGATATAGAATTAGTATTTTTATTGAAATATTTCTCTACGTCGAAGAATATGTAATTTAAAATTAACAAGAAAAATATATTGAGAATTTGTTTACTATCTATAGGTGCAATTTACACGAAGAAACTAAAACAGAAATAGTTTAAGTATTACAGTCATTTATGTAGTGAAAATTAGTAACTATTAAAGAGTTATATCAACAAAATAATCCCGTGCAATCAAATGATATTTAATGTTAACTTGACAAAGTATGAATAACAATTACTGATTTAATTTCTTCGTGGATGAGGAAACAAATAAAACTGCAGAAGATTTAAATGTATATGCTAATTAAATTGTTCGATATTTACCATGTATTGTTCTTTATTGCTTTAATATTGTCTTTCTATCTTTTATCTCACTTTCACCGATACCAGAGATTACTTTTTTACAAAATGGTTGCTTATAAGTAATTTATAAAAAAATTTTAAAAAGTTATATGTAGTGTCATTGTATACACGTGACTTTTTTTCAAGTGCTACGCACATTAAATTCGAACTTGCTTATTATTGTTTAAAACGTTTCTTGTTCAACGCAAAATCTGAACATTGCATTACGACAATTATTAACAAAAAAAAAAAAAAATACACGTTAACATTGATTCACATAAAAATTGTTTTACTTTACCTACCTAAACCTTTCCATATTATTACCAATAATTAGCACATTAAAGTTAAATTTTATAATAAAATTATTTATAAGGTAAGTGCAAATCAAATTTTTTAAATTACAATATTATCAAGAAATAATTTAACTAACATAAAATATTATATTTTATTTTAGAAAAATATTTATAGATCATAGAAAAATTTTTTTTAAGTTTAGAGTTCTAATGTTTAGATATTTTAAGGTTTTATCAGGTTTTTTGTCCTAATAAATGTACATTAAAGATTCATATTCTAAATTTTTATTAAGAAATATCAAATCGTTACCTTGAAAATAAATGATTCGAAAAAAAAAAATTTCAGTTACTTTACCCATGTAAAAAAAACTTGTCCTAAAAGAGTGATAAGCTTAGGATTCTAAACGTGACACAATTTAGGACATTTTAATGACAAATTTATGACACCAAACCGAAATCAAATTTAAATTAAAATAAAAATATTGTCATTCTTGCTCAGAGAGAAAAATATTGTAAAAAGTACTTTTGTGACATTTTTAGGATAATTTTGTGACAATTTATTTATTTATCATTTTATTTTTTTTTATTTATTAATTTATTTTTAGTACGCTTCGATCCTGAATTGTCTTTAAAATTACCTAAAATTGTTACAAAAGTATCATGAAATCGTCATAAAGAATTCAAAAAAAAATAGCGACTTATTGAAATTTTTTTACATTTTTCCCCTTTTTTTAGGATTCAAACATCAGCCTTAAAAAAGTTTCAAAATCGCCTACGTACAACCTTAGCTGCTGTAAAGACAAAAAATTTTTTCTAGTCGGATTATATTTATTTGAGTTATTAATCGACCAGTTTGAAAAAAGTCGTTGTAGATTTTAAGACTAATTATATACATTAAGATACTCCAAAATCATGTATTTTATGAAATATATTTATACTTAAATCAAACTATCGAGTCCTGGGCCGCATGAGAGTTCTTCCTTCTTATCTCCAGTGGTGTCCATGCCTGTTTTATCATTTTTATTGACTGTTTCAATTCATTTTTTAGCGAACTCAACATTTTTATCGGAGCGCTGAGCGAAAACGGTCGGTTTACCTGCTCTCACTAATAATTGACTATAACTCTGAAAATTTTCGAAATTTTGATCTAAAATTTTATACACATATTTTTACATGTATAAACTTTAAATTAAAACAAAAAAAATTTTATTTTATTCATGACAGTTGCTATGTTAATATTTTCGTACAGAAAATTTAACATCAATTTTTCGCAAAAAAAAAAAAACTTAATAATTAGCGAGTACAATACAATAAATCATATTTTACATTAAAAATTATTATTATCGTTTAACATACTACTAATTTTCATGTATAAATAATATGTTAGTTGAAGATTCATATCATCATTAAAGAGCGTAATGTAATTTTAAAAAACTTCTCGCTTTCCCAATAATTTCTCACTTGAATTATGACATTATACTAAAATTTTATTGCAGTCTCAGGGTCTCATTAGTGATAAAAGAATGATTGTTGCTTACGCAACTCAAAAAACTTGCATTGATGCTTTTGCATTCCATACTGTCATTACGGAAACAAATTATCTAGTCTGGCCAGCTTCGTTCATGTCTTTAAAATTATTGTTGAATTAACTGTCATATCTTTGACCAAAAATTAAATTAAAATCGATCGGATTTTACCTGAAGGACTGTTGTCACATAAAAATGCATCGGTATCCAAAAAGGAATCGAGAAGTAATGCCAGAGTATAGTAGAGTAGTCAAGTCGTCGTAACCAGCGTCTTTTCTGAGTATTTATTTTTTATTATTTTTATTTTCATCCGTGTACAAAACTCGTTTGTGAACCGAAGAAAGTGCGTCAAGCCAGAGCACTCAAATATGAATATATTTATATGTTCATAATATAAAAGTATTTATGTATATATATATATATATATATATATATATATATATATATATATACATAAATATATACGGGTTTACACATACCTGTGAATAATGAATTATCGTTCATACATTGTATTAAAAATAATTATTAAATTACAGAATATCTTAAATTAATAATAAAACAATAAATATTAAAGTTTCGGGGATGGTAATTTTTATATCAAAGCTTCGATGAAATTAAAAATTTATTTATTATTGTTAACGTATTTGAATGTATCGTCATATACACTGGTATAATTATGAGAGAGACAGTACTCGAAGTGGGCAGGAGTGAGGCTGTGAGAACATGTCTATAAATAGGCTCAGGACCGAGATGATACCTCCCCTACACCTCTGTCTTCCTCTTACCGACAGTGGATGTCTATCTCTCACACACAACACACAATATCTCTCCCACCACCCACCACCCACCACCACCGTGTCGCTTACTTTCCCCTCTTTTAGTCGTTGCTCTCAACTCTCCCTCCATTTATTGACTTCTCACTCCTACCAAGTGATCTCGCTCAACGGTCGCCACCCACGGTCATCAACATATACTCTAATATTCTTTTCTCTCCTTATTATATTATTTCTTCACCTTTACATCCATAATTATTCTTCCCATCAAAACTTGGAAAAAATTCAATAAAAGAACTTTTTTAATTCCTCCCCACGGAAGAAATAAAAAACTTTTTAAATTTTTTCCTAAGGAAGAAATAAAAAACATCCCTACAATTGTTTGAATTTATTGATTTATAAATAAATTGAAGATATGTGCAGTAAAAGCCAGACTTAAAAAAAAAAAAAAAAA